AAAACTATTTTCGATATTGCTGTTAGCCGTGGGGAAGCCCTTGATCATAATTTTGTGTAAAAACAATGCTAACTAGTAAAGGGGAGTATTAACGCACGATACGATCAATCTAAACGGGCAACTTTTGTACATTTTCGGTAAACTATAAGCGCGCGGGAGGATACCTTCACTGAATGATAAAGAGCGGTACGATGCTGGTGTAATGTAATCATTATTTTTCCATCTAGATATCTTGGTATAAAGAAAACACATAGTTGTTTAAAAAAAAATATGTAATTGTTAATTGCAAATTACATATTTTTTTCTTAAAAACAACTATATTTTTTCTTTACACCAATTGATTCCTTTCATTATTTTGTACATAAAAGTATTAAGGTAAGAATCGAAGAATGAATATTTTACAAGATATTTTACGGTTTATGTAAAATTAAGAAATGATTTCAAGCCTCATAATTCGGAAAGACTTAATGAAAACTAACTTAATTATAGTGTTTTGGAAAGCTCTCGACGTGAGCTACCAGAATATTTAATAAAAAATAGAAAGTTCCATTTAAGAAATTGACGGTGATCTTCACGTGACTTTCAAATGATTCTCCTATGTCAAATCATTGCCTTTATCTGATGGCCCTCTTCAAGCCATACAACTTTTGTCTGAAACATTTCTTTCTAAAGTGCATAGTTTATAAAATATTCGACCGGGACTTTTGGGACACCCTGTATATGTATATGAAGTTTGTTTACATTCTACTGATCTATTTAACATTTTCTATAGTACATGCGCAGACGCAGTGGGTTTCGTCCCTTTCCCCCATGTCCCAACCCATGTCTGTGATATGGAATACACACACACACACACACACACACACACACACACACACACACACACACACACACACACACACACGCGCGCGCGCGCGCGCGCACATGCGGGCGATGCAAGGGAGCCTTTGGCTCTCATTTTCCGCGCCAGTAGGCAAGGTGGACCTCATTTTGCCACAATAGACACATGCTGTAAGTTGTAAAGTGAAGTCCACCTTACCTATCGGCGGGGTGGTGCGGCAGAGGGGCCGAAGGCCCTCTTGCAGCCCCTGCGTGTGTGTACGCACGCGCGCGCGCACTATTTTCTAATTTAGTACCCAAAATAACGAGTTTACGAAAAAAATGTATATAACCTCTTTTATAGATCTTTTCAAGAGCTTCAACTTTTATTCGAAACTTTTTTCTCTAAAATCGATATTTTCGAAGATACAGAGTAAAATTTTTTTACCTTTGAGGGGAGGTGGGAACGGAACGGTGCCGATGTGCTAAAAATCCCTTGGACAATTTTCTTATATCGTTGAGAAAAAGGTCTCTGCAAAATTTCAACCCAATCGAAAGTAACAGCTATTCGGAACTACAGCCTCAATATATGTAATTATACAGGGTGTCCCATTTTAATCGATTACCCCGAATAACTTTTTTAATTTTGATTGTAGGAAAAAATGTTTCAGACAAAAGTTATATGGCTTGAAGGGGGACATAAGATGGTATCATTGTTTTTATCTTGGAAAGTTGTTTGAAGGTCACATGAAGGCCACCTTCAATTTTTTTAATGGAACCCCCTATTTTTTATTACTTATTCATATAGCTTATCTCGAGAGCTTTTCAAAACTCTATAATAAAGTATTTTTTGATGGAGTATTTTCCGAATTATAAGGCCTGAAATAATTTTTTAATTTTACATAAACCATAAAATATGTAGTAAAATATTCATTTTTGTATTATTTTACTTTAATGCTTTTATGTACAAAATAATGAGAGGAATCAATTGGTGGAAAGAAAACGCACAGTAGTTTTTAAGAAGAAATATGTAATTGTTAATTGCCAATTACATATTTTTTCTTCGAAACAATTATGTGTTTTCTTTACACCAATTGATTCCTCTCATTATTTTGTATATAAAAGTATTCAGGTAAGATAATCGAAAAATGAATATTTTACAAGATATTTTACAGTTTATGTAAAATTAAAAAATGATTTCAAGCCTCATGAATCGAAAAGTACTTAATAAAAGCTAACTTAATTATAATGTTTTGGAAAGCTCTTGAGGCAAGCTATAAGAATATGCAAAAGTATATAGGATATCCCATTTAAAAAGTTGGAGATGACTTTCACGTGTGGATCACCCTTCAGGTGACTCTTCAAAGTCAAACTAATAGCACCATTTTATGTCCCCCTTCAAGTCATACAACTTTTGTCTAAAACATTTTTGGCTTAAACTTATGGATTTTGAGATATTTCAGTGCGTAGATTAAAATAGCCTGTTCTGTATATACAATATATATATATATATACATATACATATATATATAAAGTATATACATACATATACATATATGTATAAAGTATAAAAAGATATACAAAAATAATTAGCATCCTTCAATTCTTTCTTAAAAAAGAGTTATTAACTACAATTAATTAGATAAGCTATATTATTAATTATATAATATCCACCATATATAAAATTATTAAATTAACTGTAAATATTAATTATTTTGGTCTACTACATTGTCTCTTTGTGACAGAAATTTAGAAATTGTTTGAAAAAGCTCGATATTGTCGATAGTACATTGCGAAATGTTGGAACAATAACAGATTATCACAAGCTATACAAAAATCAATGTGTCTCATCACAGGATGGTTCCTATTCTTTATAATATTGACTTCTGGAGTGACATACTGGATGAAACATGAGTTTAACTATAGTATTTTAACATGTATATATGCTCTCTTTGTGCGAAATTATTGTTCTTATATTAATGTGATAAATGACTTGATCATTGCAAGTATTTTTGGGTTGGTATATCATTTTAAGTATATGAAAATTACCCGATCATAGACATATTATTATGTCTATAAATCTGATACATTCATGTGTAAATTCATAAAACTAAATTGTATTGCATAAAAATATAAGCTTTCTTCAAAATTTTTTACTATATTAATATTCAAAATGATAATAAATTTGTATTTGTTACCTTACACAAGTTTCCTTTTACAGTTCTAGATACATAGGATACATAGATACATAGGATTAAAATTTGATCAAGTTAATCACCATCTTTTGAATTTAACAACAGATAAAGAATATAAAATAAAGTTAATCACCATCTTTTGAATTTAACAACAGATAAAAAATATAAAATAAAGCTTAATATAAAATAAAATAAAGTTGAAGAAACGTCGCAAAAATTTGGTCAAATTTTTGCGACGTTTCTTCAATTAATTGAAATAATTCGCGACACTCCTCGAGATGTCGGATGGGAGCGTGCGCGGGGGAGCGAAAACGCCGTCAAAAAAAATAACGAAATTAATATACTCGCGCTCTGAGGAACAGGGATGGAGGACGTTCTCGCGCGAGCCGCGGCGGAGCGGAGGCCGTCTCGATACCTCGATAGGTTGGGCGCCAGATGCGGTCTTTCACGCACCAGTTTTCGCGAAAAGCCGAAAGACGCTAAAAAAACGATAGCCTGCTTTGCCACGGGCCGACTAGCTCGCCTAACGGTAGAGGGGAGGGGTTTTGGGAGAAAGTTAATTGATTATGCGAGATTTCACTAAGACGACACACTACAGACCAAGATGGTAATCGACTTCCACGAGAGACTGATACTTAAATAAATTACGCGAATTTAGCAAAGAAAGATAACAAATTTATTACTAGAAAAATAAAATAACAATACGAGTGAATAATAATAAATCAATAATAAGAAATGGATCGATATTAAACAATAAATCAGCAATCAATAAGAAGCGATAATTCAACAGAGATTAATAATTCCTTACAGAGACATTGGTTCACTACGATTTCCACTATAAACGAGAACGAATCATACAAATCAAGTTGAAACGACGGTTCACAATAAATTCGGACGAAATACGAAAGCGAAATATACAATATACAATTAATCCTGGCACGAATAATACGACGGTATTCTGAGCAAATATCTGCTCGAAATCGACAACCAAAACGAGAGCGCTAAGACGATCCTGTTATCTATCCGAGCCCGTTTTTATGGCCGGAGTTCGCTGGACTGAGCGAAACTTTACAGAATGCAAGGGATTTTCGGCACGAAAATATTCGCGGATAATATTCACTCAAAAGAGTATCGCAATTTCGACAACCAAATCGACAATTTATCTCTACGGACTTTTCCCCGCAATTTCCCAGTTCGCAATACAAAACGACAGCTTAATAATTCGACAGCATAAGTAACCATAAAGCGAAAATACTTAATACTTTTGCGAAGACGGATCACGCATGCGACAGGCGAACGATATTCTCAGATTTCGATAGCCGACGGCGGACGGAGATTTTTCTCCGCCGACGTTTCGCCTCTTTCTTCCGCGTAAGCCGCTCAGATTTCACTCTCAATACTTTGGCGATTATTTCGCACCGCGACCAATTCGGCAGATACAAATTATCGCTTATTACGCGCTATTCGACGGCGTAATAAACGCGACGAAGACGCAAATATTCTATTAGCCTTTATTACGCTCTATTCGGCGGCGTAATAAGCGTGACAAAGACGCAAATACTTTCACGCTCACACTACAATAAAATACCATAAACGCTCATACGCACTCTTAACAATTGACGACGACATACACGCAATCAGACATCAAAAATCCTGAGATACATTACGGAATATTCCACGCGGCAACGACAGCGGTACGACAGCACGGGCGGTATTCGCTTTCGCGATCCTTCGCGCACGCGGTCGATATTCGGCGGTCGATAGCTACGCGTAAAGAACACTCGAAACCCGGAGAAAGACGAACGTTGCCTTATCAATCTAACGCCGACGTTACGATGGTCCTTTCCTCGGTCGCTTGCCTCCGGTCGCCCGAAAATACGCAAAATATCGACGGCTCAGCAAAAGGCTCGAGCGGTCGCGAAACACGAAAAATGGCGACGGCGGCAGAACGGCCGGCACGCGGACTAAATCGCGTACGTGGCTTACAAGGGAAGATGGGCAACTTCACCGATAACACCTCTTCCTGCTGGGGATGGTCCTCGGCCTCGTCCTCTGCTCGGTCTCGATAGCGGCGACAAACAAGAATTCTCACGTCAACGACTAAATATAACTTGACTAACTCGCTCGAACGTTCGCATCAGAGTCGGGCCGACTAGCTCGCCTAACGAGAGGAGGGATTTTGAGAGAAAGTTAATTGATTATGCGAGATTTTACTAAGACGATACACTACAGACCAAAATGGTAATCGACTTCCACGAGAGACTGATACTTAAATAAATTTCGCGAGTTTAGCAAAGAAAGATAACAAATTTATTACTAGAAAAATAAAATAACAATACGAGTGAATAATAATAAATCAATAATAAGAAATGGATCGATATTAAACAATAAATCAGCAATCAATAAGAAGCGATAATTCAACAGAGATTAATAATTCCTTACAGAGACATTGGTTCACTACGATTTCCACTAGAAACGAGAACGAATCATACAAATAAGATTGGCTTGGGAAAATTCTATTCTCCAACATAAAATTCCACAAGCTTTAAGCAATGAATGATTGATATGGATAATGATGTAAGAAAGTTAACGTAATTCTATTAATTGTATTGAGCAGTAAAATTTAATACTGTGTTTGTAGACATCTTCATTCGGAATTACGTAAAATATTTCGAGAAGTAAATTCAATATTTGGAGTATAGATGACTTTCAAAATGGGATGTTTTTTTGGCTAACGCTTGATTTGCGTGATGTTTTTAATGCGATTGACAATTATATCAAATCTAATAAAACTATACACTGTTGTAATATTATTTTTGCTTTGTCATTACATTTTGAAACTTTACTTCATTAATTATATGCGAAATGGTTAATACCAATGTATTTTGCATTCAGACTCAAACGTTTAATTTTTTTTAACAATTATCTAACTATTAGATAATATGAAATTTTACATAGGGTTTTTGAATTTTAAGAATTATTCAAATTTTATGCACTAAACGAAGAGTGGGGAGAGAAAACAGAGTTGAATTCAGAGAAGGAGCGGTCTGAGGGAGAGAGAGAGATGGAGGAGAACTTGATGGAAAAGATAATGGTCGAATTGAGGGAGAGTAGAAGGGAGAGAGAGGAGATAAGGAAAGAAAGACAAGAGGCTCAGGCATTAATAAGAAAAGTGGACAAAAGATGGGAGGAAATGGAGAAGAGGATGCAGGACACGGAGGAGAAGATCAAAGAATTAATAGAGAGGATAGAAGAAAAAGAGAAAAAAGAAGAGGAGGAGAAGGCAAGGGAAAAAGAAGAAGAGAAAAAGAAGATGGAAAATATAGAAAAAGCGATGCAAAAGGTTGAAGAGGAAATAAAGAAGATGAAGGAGGTGAAGAGAAAGGATGAAGAACAAGAGAGGAAACAAGAGGAGAAGAAAGAAAAGAAGAGTCAGGATAAGGACATGGAGAAAAAAAGGTGGGAAGAATGGAACAGGGAAATAAGAAAGAAAAACATCATTATAACAGGAATAAATATAAAGGAGGAGATAAGAAAAGAAATGGTGGAAGAATGGCTTAAGAAGGAGTTAGGGATAGAAACCAGGCTGATAAAGATTTGGATAATAAAAGGAAGAAGAGGATTAGTAGGGGCGCAGTGCAGCAGCAGAGAAGAAAAGGAAAAGATTATGGAGAATAAAAACAGACTAAAAGGAATCAAAATATACATAGATCACGATCTCACATTCAAAGAAAGGAGGAACAGAGAAATAGTATGGAAAAAGGCACGAGAATATAAAGATGAAGGTAAGAACATAAGAGTAGGATATAATAAAATTATAGTAGAAAATGAAGAACACAGGTTCGATGAATGGAGAGGAAAATTTTTTCGAAAAAGGGAGGAAGATACAAAAAGAGGGAAGAAAGAAATATAGCAAGAACAAAGAAAGAAATTAAAATGGTAATTTGGAATATAGCAGGATTGACAGAGAATAAGGAGGATAAATTAGAGTATATAAAGAGATTTGATATAATAGGATTAGTAGAAACTTGGATAATAAAAGAGAAAGAAGAGTGGTTTAAAGAAAAGCTTAAAGATTTTGATATAGAATGCGTAGAAGCAAGAAAAGATAATAAGAAGGGAAGAGCGAAGGAAGGAATAATCTTAGGCATAAGAAGAGGATTAATGGACGCACAAAGGAGATTAAGAGCGACAGAAGAAGTAATAGCAGTAGAAGTGAAAAAGAAGGAAAAAACCTACAGGATAATTGTCACATACATGAATGAGAAGAAAAAGGAAAACTGGAAAGAAATCAAGAAAGTTTTGGAAGACAATGAGAGGACGATAACTATAATTGGAGGAGATTTCAATGCGAGGATAGGAGAAGAAGAAGGATGGTTAGAGGAAGAAGAAACTTTCAACCTAAGAAGCGAAATGGAGAAGGAAAGAAATAGAAAATCAAGGGATGAAATAGTTAACAAAGAAGGAGAAAAAATGTTGGAGGAAATAAGAAATAATGGATTGTATATAGCAAACGGTAACATGAATGGAGACGAAGAAGGAGAATTTACATATATAGGCCCAAGAGGTATGACAACGATTGACTACCTGTTAACGAATATAAGCGGGAAAGAAATTATACAGCGCATGAAAATTGGAGAAAAAATAGAGTCAGATCATATGCCAATAGAAGTAACATGGAAGAAAAAAACAGAAGAGAGGAGAATGGAGATAAGGAAAGAAATAACGGATTGGACACAGGAAGGAATCAGAAAATATCAAGAAAACCTAAAGGAAGAAGAAATAGTTAGGGCAAAAAACTGGAAAGAACTAAAAGAAATAATAAGGAAAGCTATACCAAAAAAGACAATCGAAGAAAAAGTTAGGAAAGAAAGATGATACGATAAGGAATGCAGACAGAAAAAGAGAGAACTGAAGAATTTACTAAAGCTCTGCAAGAAGGAAGGAAAAGGGCAGAAGAGATTTTATGAAGCAAGAAAAGAATACAAGAAACTACTGAAGGAGAAGCTAGAAAAGGAAGGAGAAAAAATTATAGAAGAAATGAGAAGGGATAAAACGGAGAAGAAGTTTTGGGAAATCGTAAATCAAAATAGGAAAAGAAGAGAAGGAATAGACGAAAACATAAGAAGAGAAGATTGGATAAAACACTTTACAAAACAGTTAGGAGGAACAGAAAGAGATATAGGTGAGGAGGGAGAGAGAACTGAGGAGATGACCAATGAGGAACTGGAAAAAGGCGGAAGCAGAGGAGCGGATTGCAGGATAACAGAAGAGATTACAGAAGAGGAAATTGAAGTGACAATAAGGAAGCTAAAAAAGAAGAAGGCAGTAGGGCCAGACGGAATAGGTAACGAGGCATGGATCTACGGAATTGAAAAGATAAGAGGAAAGATGAAGGAAATTTTAAATAAAATGTGGAATGGAGGAAAGTTAACAAAAGAATGGAAGGAAGGTATAATAACACCGATATATAAAAAAGGAGACAAGAAAAAAGCGGAAAATTATAGAGGAATAACGTTGATGGACACGGGTTATAAAATTTATACAGAAATAATAAGAAGAAAGTTAAGTAAAAATTTAGAAGAGAAAAAAGGTCTTAGTGAGACTCAATTAGGAAGGAAAGAGGCACAATTGATGCGGTATATATCTTAAAGAATGCGATAAATGAATCAATAAGAAGAGAAAAAGGAAAGTTATACGTGCTATTCGCAGACATGAAAGGAGCATTTGACAGACTAAAAAGGGAAGAAATTTGGAACATGCTGGAGAAAATAGGTATAGGAGAAAATATAACGGAAAGAATAAGGGACATATATACAGGAACAAAGAGCACAATAAAGATAAAGGAGAAAAGAGTAGGATCAATGGAACTGAAGAAAGGAGTCAGACAAGGATGCCTCCTCAGCCCGACCTTGTTCAATGTGAGCCTTGCGGATTTGGAAGAGGAGATGAAAAAAGTACAAGAAGGAGGCGTAGTATTAGGGAGAAAGAAAATTTACTCACTGTCATATGCAGACGATGTTGCACTAATGTCCACTACACCAGAAGGGCTAAAAGAGATGATAGAGAGATTGGGAAAGTATTTGGAAAAAAAAGGCTTGGAATTGAATACGGAAAAGTCAAAGATAATGGTGTTCAGAAAAGGACAAGGAAGGAGAACCAGATTAGAATTCAAATGGAAAGAGGAAGTAATAGAAGAAGTGAAAGAATTTACATATCTGGGATACATAATGAAGGGCAACAACAGTGATGAAGGACAAATTAAGAAGCTAGAAGGTAAAGCTAAGTAGGAAGAATTTGGAGCATAGGAGAGAGGAAATTTAAAGAAGATTGGGATAAAAGGATGAGATTATTCGATGCACTAATAGAATCAATAATAATGTATGGAGCCGAAATTTGGGGATGGAAAGAAAGGAAAGAACTTGAAAGAATACAAAAGAAATATATTAAATGAGTGCTAAAGCTTGACAAGAATACACCGGATTACATAGTGACGAAAGAAACAAACAGAGATGATTTAATAATTAAGACAGGAAAAAGAGCATTAAAATATGAAGAAAAGTTGGAAAAACAAGAAAGAAACACGATCCTGGGAGAATGCTGGAAAATACAAGAAAGAAGAAGAGAAGAAAAAAGCCAAGAAGACAAGAGAGAATTCTTGAAGAAAAGAGGATGGTCAATAGAAAAGTATTGGGAAAATAAAGGTAGGAAAGAGTCAGTGTGGCAAAGATTGGAGGAGAAAGGCAGGGAAATACAGACAAATTATTAGAGAAGAAAGGATAAAGGATTCAAGATACGCAGAAGAGATCAGGGAGGTACTCTTGGAAGAATACGGAAGGAGATACATGGAGAGAGGCCAAAGACTAAGAAAAGATGAATTAAGTACGGTGGCTAGGTTTAGAACAGGAAATGAAAGCAGAAAGTGCATGTTCTGGCTAAAAGAAGAGGAAAGATTGTGCAGATTATGCGGCAAAGAAGAGGAAAGCTATGGGCATGTATTTGAAAACTGTGGAAAGGTTAAAAATAAAAATGGGAAGTGGAGAGAGATACTAGAGGGAGAAAAAAGAAGTCTAGGAAGGATGAAGGAAGTACTGTGGAAACGGAAGGAAGAGGAGAAAAGAAAGGAAATAATAGGTGGAAAATAAAAAGAAGAAAAAAAGAAATTCAGAAAAGTCAATAAGGAAGGAGTGCAGAGAGGAGAGAGAGCGAGAGGATACCTGGAAGGGAGGAGATAGGTTTTAGATAGGTATACAAAGACTGATTAAATGTATTAGAATAGATAGGAGAATGAAATATTTAGAGATGGAAGAAGAAGGAAGAAAGAGATGAAATAAAAAAAATATTATAAAAAAATTATAAAAAACACACACACACACACACACACACACACACACACACACTAATACACACGCAAATAAAATGAATAAATGTATCTTCACAAGTTGACATAAATTGTATAAAATTAGTCAATAAATATACTACTACTCCTACTACTATATATACAAAATTATTAACATAAATTATGATTTACTTAAATATATAGTTTATCATAATAAAAAATAATAAAGTAGTAAAGATTTTTAAAAATGCATATATATTTTTTACAGAAATGAGATAAATTTTTACAAAAAGGTGGTAATATCCCTTTAGAAACAATCTTATAAAAGTAAAAAAAATACGCCAAGTACATAAGAAAATATCTTTAAAAAATCTGACATATATTTTCTGCAAAAATAATATAAATTTTTACAAAAAGCAGTGAGATTCCCTAAAAAAACCTTATAAAAGAAAAAAATACATAAAAAAATCAAAAAATCTAAAAGAGTGATAAAAATAAAATATTTAAAAACCGATATGAGACCAAATTATTAGCCAAGTACAATAAATTATATAATATTAATTTGTAATCGATACTAAATGAGTTAAGATTACTTTAATTCCTAAGGCGTTTTTTATATGATGTATATAATTTAAAAAAGTTTTGCATATATTTTAAATCGCATAAATGACCTTCAGGTCGAAGTAAGATATGAAAACTTAGCATGCCACGTATTTAAATTATAGAGTTTAAAACAGGAAAAAGCTAAATTTTTGATGGGTCCAATGTAAAATTTGAAATTACACTACAGAAATCGCGCACGCGTTTTAAATAATTGAGTAATTTCTCGCATTTTACTAAAAAGTAAAATTTTTCTCATTAATCTTCTTCTCATTAGTTTAGAAATATAAATATTTAAGATATATTTCCATGTGATCATGAGTTAATTCTCTTTTTGTATATTAATGCCGAAGTTTTATTACTTTCACAGTAATAGGACCAGAGTAATTACATGATAACTTAACAATAAAAGCGATTCGCATTTTTATTTGTTTTTGATAAAGGGAGATAGTATAACACACAATTTAGTAGGAATATGATTACATATAATTACATATGTATGTTACGCCCAACTAAATTATAGACATGGCAGCGAGATAATATCTTGCTACAGTGATAAATGACAAATGATAACATCGTGTAAGATATTGATATGTCCAAGCCTGAGGAGGGATGGGCCGAGCAAAGAGCGTAACGATCACTTTCCGAGAGCATGTGCGGAAGCCTCGAGTCAAGTGAACCGGCAGGGAGACCGAAAATGCAAAAGATTATGGAAAAATTTATTAAAATTACCGAATAAATATATTATTAATCAGGAAAGAATAGTTAAGTAATTTGTAACAACAAAATAAATATATAATAATTAGATTAATATATGATTCTGTAATAATTAAATATGAATGTGTATGCGTATATGTGTATGTGTTTTTTGTAATGAGTATGGATATCTAACTAGATAAAAAATTATCGCCCAATGATTGTGTCCGATCGAGTTATCATAAATCACCGCAAAGTTATATAAAACAGAGCATAATTAAATCGTAGAGCTTTTAATTGTTAGAGGAATTTAAACATTGTTCCTTTTATACACGGTAAAAAACATTTTGTATTTCTGTTAAACTTTTCTCGTTTAAAAATTTTTATGTTAAATTTTTAACATACTCTTATGTTAATGTAACATATTATCATTGCGTTATTTTGACATTTCTTTTGAATTCATATTCACCGTTTCTAAGAGTTAAAACAACACAATTAATATGTAAATGCACGAATTTTTGATAAAATATATTATATGTTAAAATGAACAGATAAGTTGTGTTATTTTTCTCTCTATAATAGTTTCCATATGTTAAATCGACATATTTTGTCTGTTATTGATCGTGACATTGATTAAAATAGATATTACTTTTTATTATTTGGCAATATATATCATAGCACTGTATAATGAGATATAAAATAAAGAAAATTAAGAGCAATATTTAAATTTCTTTATAAATATGTAATAAATATAATTTGTTTTAACATATTCTAAAAAGAAAGCATCATTCATTATCCATTTTATTTATATATATCGCATATAAAAAGATATATATATATATATATATATATATATATATATATATATATACCGGGTGTTTCAGACCACCCGTACACCCCATTTTAAAGCAAAGGAAGTGGTTATTTTGAAAAATGTTTCAGACAAAAGTTGTTGAAGATAAAGTAATGCATTACATGGGTAAATTTGATTGACCTTGGGTGGCGTCGTGAAGGTCATGTCAAGGTCGACTTGAATTTTTTAAATGGGAACCCCTATTTTTCATTGCATATTCTTGTAGCTTATCTCGAGAGCTTTCCAAAACACTATAATTAAGTACCTTTTTATTAAGTACTTTTTGAGTTATAAGGCTTGAAATAATTTCTTAATTTTATATAAACCATAAAATATCTAGTAAACCATTCATTTTTCGATTATCTTACCTTCATACTTTTATGTACAAAATAATGAGAGGAATCAATTGGTGTAAAGAAAACACATAGTTGTTTCTAAGAAAAAATATGGAATTGTTAATTGCAAATTACATATTTTTTCTTAGAAACAACTATGTGTTTTCTTTACACCAATTGATTCCTCTCATTATTTTGTACATAAAAGTATGAAGGTAAGATAATCGAAAAATGAATGGTTTACTAGATATTTTATGGTTTATGTAAAATTAAGAAATTATTTCAAGCCTTATAACTCAAAAAGTACTTAATAAAAAGGTACTTAATTATAGTGTTTTGGAAAGCTCTCGAGATAAGCTACAAGAATATGCAATGAAAAATAGGGATTCCCATTTAAAAAATTCAAGTCGACCTTGACATGACCTTCACGACGCCACCCAAGGTCAATCAAATTTACCCATGTAATGCATTACTTTATCTTCAACAACTTTTGTCTGAAACATTTTTCAAAATAACCACTTCCTTTGCTTTAAAATGGGATGTACGGGTGGTCTGAAACACCCGGTATATATTGCATATAAATAGATTAAATATAATTGTATATAAAGAGATCGATATGAATTCAATAACTATAAGTGCATTAAATGAAATTATAAAGATCTTAATCGTTTCATGAAGCTAGTTCAAACAGTCGACAAAGGATAGCTCGGAATCGAAACAGTGTACATAATGACTAAAAGTATTCGTACAGTTTTAACACCGCTCTTGATAATCAGTTATGTGTCCGGTTTAAGTATTACCGAATTTCCTGTAGGTTGTCCAAGAGTATGGTTCAGTCTCTTGTATATGCTGCTATTTTGGCCAATTTTTCTTTTCTTATTTAAATCTATAATAATATCTTACTTTAATAATGAACATTATAATATCGAATATCATATATGTCTTGGATTAGACATTTTGATAACATTATTGTCAATTGTATTCGGAATTTATCATGATAAGGTATGTATGACAAAGTATTATTAATTAATTGCATACTAATAATAAGCAATTTTGATTATGTATGAGACCATTTTAGTCACATGTTTAACGTAAGTATACAAGTTTTAAGTAATTAAGTATTTATTAGTTTAGCAAAAACAAATTGTCATATAGATATGTAATGTTTCAGGTATTATTAAAAGAATAATTCAAAACAAATTGTTAATAAAATTTTTTTTCTTAATATTTAATAATAATATTATTCATAATATAATGTATATATATGTATATATATATATTTATACAGGGTGATCCAAAAGTATGGAAACGGCCAAATAACTGTGGAGGAATGCACTTTGGAGAAAAAAGTTTGAGACAAAAGTTGTAGGATTTTTTCCGGGCAATCCGACGGTGACCTTAGATTTGACCTTGGATAGTCATTTGAAGGTCACATAAAGATTACCTTCAATTTCTTAAATGGAACTCCCTATTTTTCATTGCATATTCTTGTAGCTTATCTCGAGAGCTTTCCAAAACACTATAATTAAGTACCTTTTTATTAAGTACTTTTTGAGTTATAAGGCTTGAAATAATTTCTTAATTTTACATAAACCATAAAATATCTAGTAAACCATTCATTTTTCGATTATCTTACCTTCATACTTTTATGTACAAAATAATGAGAGGAATCAATTGGTGTAAAGAAAACACATAGTTGTTTCTAAGAAAAAATATGTAATTTGCAATTAACAATTCCATATTTTTTCTTAAAAACAACTGTATGTTTTCTTTACACCAATTGATTCCTCTCATTATTTTGTACATAAAAGTATGAAGGTAAGATAATCGAAAAATGAATGGTTTACTAGATATTTTATGGTTTATGTAAAATTAAGAAATTATTTCAAGCCTTATAACTCAAAAAGTACTTAATAAAAAGGTACTTAATTATAGTGTTTTGGAAAGCTCTCGAGATAAGCTACAAGAATATGCAATGAAAAATAGGGATTCCCGTTTAAGAAATTGAAGGTAATCTTTATGTGACCTTCAAATGACTATCCAAGGTCAAATCTAAGGTCACCGTCGGATTGCCCGGGAAAAATCCTACAACTTTTGTCTCAAACTTTTTTCTCCAAAGTGCATTCCTCCATAGTTATTTGACCGTTTCCATACTTTTGGATCACCCTGTACACACACACACACACACACACACACACACACACACACACACACACACACACGCACACGCACACGCACACGCACACGCACACACACACGCACACGCACACGCATACGCACACGCACACGCACACGCACACGCACACGCACACGCACACGCACACGCGCACGCGCACGCACACGCACACGCACACGCACACGCGCGCACACACACACACACACACACACACACACACATACATATATATATATATACATATATATATACATATATATATATATACAGGGTCTACCAAAAGTGTGGAAACCCCTAAATATCTCGGAAAATATACGTTTTACAGAAAAGTGTTTCCAACAAAAGTTGTAGGGTTTAAGAAGATCTATATACTGATTCTATCAGTTTGACCTTGGATGGCGTCGTCAAGGTCAGGTCAAGGTCACATTGACTTTTTTAAATGACACCCCCTACATTTGATTGCATATTCTTATAGCTTAATTCAAGAGCTTTCCAAAACACTATAATAATGTTCATTTTTATTAAGTACTTTGCGAGTTATGAGGGTTGAATGATAGAGTAGCGCCGGTATTAACATTATCCAAGGTGTACTACATGGAGGTTACTCGCTCGGATTTGCATCTGTTGTGTGTGTGATCCAGCTAACTAAGGCAAGATCGGTCGTGGATCCAGTCAGCAAAAGCAAAGACCCAACCAAATTACAATCGAGCATTTAAAGACCTGGAAAGCAATCGACATAGTAAACAGTAAATAAATTTGTGGATGCTCATTTATCATAATAATTGTTCGAAATGTGTGCGTGTGCGTGCGTGCGGTGCGTGTATACAGAGATCAGGTTAGGTTGCACCAAACGATTGCAAATGTGTTTCAATGTGTTAAAGTAAATGCTGAAAGTGGCTGCCATTTACTTCCTGACAATATGCTAATCTTTGGTAGAATGTAGAAATGACTTTACGATTCGTTTCAAAAGGTATCAAAGCCATTTCATCCCTTATTCGCTGTATCAATTCGTGAATGGTTTTAGGTTTTGTTCTGTAAACCTTACTCTTCAGATATCCCCATAGATAATAATCAAGAGGAGTTAGATCTGGTGACCGAGGTGGCCAATCCTCTCCTCCCTCATTTTCGTTCCTTCTTCCTATCCACCGTAGCGGAAAAGTCTCATTTAAAATACGACGTGGTCCTGCACCAAAATGAGCAGGAGCTCCATCATGCTGAAACCATATTTCTTGGAAATTATTTGGAAAAGTATTCTGTATGGCTGGAATTATTTGATCAACAAGTAATCTCTCATACCTTTGAGCGTTCAAATATTCTTCAAAAAAAAAACGGCCCTATTAAATAGCCATCTATTATTCCGCACCATACATTTATTTTTTGTGGATGTTGTGTGTGAGTTTCCCGCACCCAATTCGGATTCTCATCTGACCAGAAACGAAAATTTTGATTATTAACTTCTCCCGTTAAGGTAAAAGTTGCCTCGTCTGTGAAAACAATTTGATAAGGGAAGATGGGCCGGACATCTATTAGTGCCATCATTCTTTCACAGAAATGTATACGACGCTCCTCATCTCCGTTTTGCAATTCTTGAACGTATTGCAATTTATATGGATGGAACTTGTTCTTTTTTAAAATTCTCCAAACCGACATGGGAGCAATATCGTGAATTTGAGCGACTCTCTGAACACTAGAATTGGGATCTTCAATAAATGTCTGCAGAACATCAAGTTGTTTTTCTTCGTTGGTTGCAGACAATGGTCTTCCTGACTTAGAGCGATTTCTTACGCTACCAGTTTGTCTAAAACGTTCTATTGTTTTTAACACAGTGGACTTATTAATTCGACGGTTCGGATACGTGTCATTAAATAATCGAACGACATCAGAGAACGATCTTTCGTTATCACCCCATCCACGCATCATGAGGATAGTGATTCTTTCACGTTCCGACAAGTCGCCAGCCATTTTTAAAACGTTTAATTTTAATTAATCGTACGTTGTATTTGGACGATAATAATTAATTTCTGCTTGCTCAAAGCTGAAGTTAGAAGGTGCTCGTTCTTTGATAGCTTTATACATTCTTAGTTGAATTTTAAATGCGAGTTAGACTGCATGTAGTGCGTCACATAGCGGTAAATGAAGGAACTAACGAGACGTTTCATACACGTTTTATGGAGCAATTTTTTGGCAATTTGACTTCAGCGAAATATGAGGATATGTTGAGGAATCGATCTTGCCTTAGTTAGCTGGATCACACACACAACAGATGCAAATCCGAGCGAGTAACCTCCATGTAGTACACCTTGGATAATGTTAATACCGGCGCTACTCTATCATTCAACCCTCATAACTCGCAAAGTACTTAATAAAAATGAACATTATTATAGTGTTTTGGAAAGCTCTTGAATTAAGCTATAAGAATATGCAATCAAATGTAGGGGGTGTCATTTAAAAAAGTCAATGTGACCTTGACCTGACCTTGACGACGCCATCCAAGGTCAAACTGATAGAATCAGTATATAGATCTTCTTAAACCCTACAACTTTTGTTGGAAACACTTTTCTGTAAAACGTATATTTTCCGAGATATTTAGGGGTTTCCACACTTTTGGTAGACCCTGTATATATACAGGGTGACCTATTTTAACTTAGGCAGCCAAATAACTCGAAAAATAAGCACACTACGAAAAAATGGTTAGAATCAAAATTTCGTCATTTCGAGGGAGACGTACAATGACGTTAAAATCAGCCCCCCCACTCCTCCCCCTGGGCGGTGAGGGGGGGCAAGTTTGAAATTTTAATTGGGAACCCCTATTTTTTATTACATATTCCTGTAGCTTATCTCGAGAGCTTTCCAAAACACTATAATTAAGTACCTTTTTGTTAAGTACTTTTTGAGTTATAAGGCTTGAAATAATTTCTTAATTTTACATAAACCATAAAATATCTAGTAAACCATTCATTTTTCGATTATCTTACCTTCATACTTTTATGTACAAAATAATGAGAGGAATCAATTGGTGTAAAGAAAACATACAGTTGTTTTTAAGAAAAAATATGTAATTTGCAATTAACAATTTTATATTTTTTCTTAAAAACAACTGTATGTTTTCTTTACACCAATTGATTCCTCTCATTATTTTGTACATAAAAGTATGAAGGTAAGATAATCGAAAAATGATGGTTTACTAGATATTTTATGGTTTATGTAAAATTAAGAAATTATTTCAAACCTTATAACTTAAAAAGTACTTAATAAAAAGGTACTTAATTATAGTGTTTTGGAAAGCTCTCGAGATAAGCTACAGGAATATGCAATAAAAAATAGGGGTTCCCATTTAAGATTTCAAACTTGCCCCCCCTCACCGCCCAGGGGGAGGGGTGGGGGGGCTGATTTTAACGTCATTGTACGTCCCCCTCGAAATGACGAAATTTTGATTCTAACCATTTTTTCGTAGTGTGCTTATTTTTCGAGTTATTTGGCTGCCTAAGTTAAAATGGGTCACCCTGTATATATATATATATATATATATATATATACACATATATATATACATATATATATGTGTATATATAGTTAATGTAGTTAATAGCTGTTTTTCAAGAAAGAATTAAAAGATATTAATTAATTTTATACATTTTCTTATACTTCATATGTATATGGATGTATATATATATATATATATATATATATATATATATATATATATTTATACATCCATATACATATGAAGTATAAGAAAATGTATAAAATTAATTAATATTCTTTAATTCTTTTTTGAAAAACAGCTATTAACTACATTAACTTGATAAGCTATATTATTAATTACATAAAATCTATACATAAAATTATTATATTGTAAATATTAATTGTCCACCACATTGTTTGTTTATGACAGAAATTTAGAAATTGTTTGAAAAAACTCGATATTGTCGATAGTACGTTACGGAATGTTGGAACAATAACGGATTATCACAAGCTATATAAAAAAACGATGTGTCACATCACAGGATGGTTCCTATTGGTTATAACATTGACTAATGTAGTAGCATATTGGCTAAGAACCGAGTACAACTACGATATTTTAACATCTATGTATGCTGTCTTTGTGCGAAATTATTGTTCGTATATTAATATGATCAATGACTTGATCATTGCAAACATTTTTGGGTTGGTATATCATTTTAAGTATATGAAAATTACCCGATCATAGACAAATTATTATGTCTATAAATCTGATACATTCATGTGTAAATTCATAAAACTAAATTGTATTCCATAAAAATATAAACTTTCTTCGAAATTTTTTACTATATTAATATTCAAAATGATAATAAATTTGTATTTGTTACATTACTTATAAGTTTTTTTTACATTTCTAGATACATAGGATTAAAGTTTGATCAAATTAATCAACATCTTTTGAATTTAACGAGAGATAACAAACATGAAATAAAGCGAGCTTGGGAAACTTCTATTCTCCAACATAGAGTTCCACAAGCTTTAAGCAATGAATGGTTGATATGGATAATGATGTAAGAAAGTTAACGTAATTCTATTAATTGTATTGAGCAGTAAAATTTAATATTGTGTTTGTAGACATCTTCATTCGGAATTACGTAAAATATCTCGAGAAGTAAATTTGATATTTGGAGTACAGATGACTTTCAAAATGGGATGTAATTTTTTTTGGCTAGCGCTTGATTTGCGTGATATTTTTAATGCGATACTGATTGACAATTATATCAAATCTAATAAAACACTATACACGGTTGTACTGTTATTTTTGCTTTGTCATAACATTTTCAAACTTTACTTCATTAATTATATGTGCGAAATGGTTAATACCAAGGTATTTTGCATTCATACTCAAACGTTTAATTTTTTTTTAACAATTATCTAACTATTAGATAATATGAAATTTTACATAGGGTTTTTGAATTTTAAGAATTATTCAAATTTTATTTTGCATATTTCGATTTTAGGCGAATGCGACAGGAAATTTAATAAACAAAATACCATATTCTATTTATGATATCAATGTTCGAGAAAATGTAAGTTTTAATATATACAAAATTATTAACATAAATTATGATTTACTTAAATATATAGTTTATCATAATAAAAAATAATAAATATTTTATATACAGTTTGCGCAAAAATGAAAGATAGTAAATTTATTTACATTAAAAATACTTTATTGTATTAATATAGATATTACAGCTTCTATTGCAAATAACTCAAGCGCCAGTCAGATTCTATGGAATTGGGCTTTTCCAGTATGGCTACAAATTTCTTTACGGAGTACGTTGTAAATGTTTATTACCAGCGTAATTATTTATCCCGAACAATTTAATATATAATAATTATTAAAAAAGTGTAATATCTTTCAGTTCATCTCGTCGATTACGACCGTTGTAGTTTTATTAACACAGGCGTGCATAAATAAGCAAACATTAAAAATAAATGATGATTAACATTGTAATAGCACTGCAAATTTCAATGTGTTAATGTGACTCATTTCATTTGTGTAATTTTCAGAAAACACGTTTATCCATGTTATTTAAATACATATAATTGTGTAATGTATTAATTTTATACGAATCTTACGCGTTATAATGAGAATATGTATGGAAATGTATAAAAAAAATAACATACATCTTTATTCAACGTTTGGGACGTGTTATATAGAAGCGTTTGTTCTTGATTTACACATCTCAGCAGCTTAACACATTTAAATGACTTATACAGATATCAAATTATACAAATTGAAACTACATATATAAAATTTTTAATGTATATATTAATATTTCTAATAATATGATTATATAATATTATTATATAAATTTCTAATAATATTAATATTATAAATTATATTGCTTTAATTTTTTAAAGTAATGCTTACTTATAATAAATTTATAAATAATTTATTAAATATTTTATTCTTGTCATATATGATAACAATAAACGAATATATGAATAAGATCATTAAGAATCAGTATTTCATTGAATTCTAGTAGAAACGCTTATTTCTTGTTACTTTATTTTATATCTCATTAATTATAGTCAGTGGAAGTAAAATTTCACTGCAAAATCAGTAATCGCTAGTTCGTTTGTTTACCGTCACGGTGCGTTATTTTTCTCGTATCTAAGTTTTAGTCATGAGAATTATATAAAGCTTGCAGAAGACGACAGATAAAATTAAAAATATCACTTCTATTTAATTTCTGATATAACCTCAATAGAGGAATTTCAGATATTAAATCAAACTTATAAGTTGAACATATTCGGCGAATAAACGAAAATGATCTGTTCTTTACATATTAAAGATGTAAAATAAATCATCATCTATTTAACATTCATGTTCTAATATGCATGTAAATATAAATAAAATTTTTAATTTTATATAGTCTTTTATTTAAAAAAATTTATCTTATGAACATTTTATTTTTTTTAATATTTTGTTTTATTTTTCTAACTTTAATTTTTCCAAAGTTAGATATAAACTGATAAAGTTATTTAGAATAAGAAAAAATATTGTGTATTTCTTTGTAAAAAATATAAATATATTTTTATAAATTTCAAACAAGCACTTTATTGTAATGTACCATTAATTTGAAACCTATACATTTTAAATATATTAAATTAATGAATTTAAATATGATCAATTAACACTTTTAATATATTAAATTAAAATATATCATGTGCATATAAGTTATGCAGCAGGAAACGTATAAAAAGAGCTTCATCTAATTTAGACATTTATACGTGTAAATATAACATATTAAGATTTGCAATGAATGCAATGTTATGTAATTAACTTCAAGAAGCGTTGAGAAATAATACTTAGAATGTAATTTATATGTATAATACACAAAAAAAAATATGTTTTGAATATTTTAAATAAAAGTCTATATATTCTGGAGCTAAAAATGTGTTTTAATAATATATTTTAATAATATTTCAATAAAAGGCTTAAAGGACTAACGCAATGGTGAAAGAAGCGAAATAAAAACAGTTATATTAAAATAATAACCTATTCAAACGTTTATTTGGTTGACAAACGCCGCGTTTCGATCCAATTCGGATCCTTATCAATGTCAAATCACGAAAATAAAATAAAATAAAATAAAGTTAACAGTCATTAGTAATACGTAATGGAAAGACGCAAAACAAAATAAATAATAATATAAGAGTCAAAATAGATTGCGCAAAAAACGGTCGAAATTCAAATAGCACAAAGAAACGCACGTGTTGATAAGCGCATAAGCAACCCCGTCTCGCAAAATCCCGGTATGCCAATGAGAAAATCCAAGCCACTCCCTTCGATGCCACATTTCAAAGGAAAATCCCACATGCAGGTTCACATACATCACAGTAACAAAAACGCCGTTAAAGATGCACAAGTCGATGACCAGCACAGAAATGTAGTAGGACTCAATGCGTCCGATAAACCTTAAAAAATTCGGCAATCCATAAAAAAGAAAGAAAAAAGGCAGGTTATTTTTTATTTCGCTTCTTTCACCATTGCGTTGGTCCTTTAAGCCTTTTATTGAAATTTTATTGATTTTATCTTATGGACCTTTATTTGATTATATTATTTTTAATTTGATATCACTCAGGCGAATAATGAGTTACAAATTAATTTTTTCAAGTTTATCGATCAATGTTTTGGAAAGGATATGAAGCAATGCTTTAAGAGTTGGATTGATCTCAACAAAAGGATCATTGCTACTAAATTTAAAATCTTTTTCTTAAAGGAATGTAAAAGAGTCAACTTAGTTCCGCAACACCTGTTTAAATATATTAATAATGTGATTCGCTTTTTTCATAATGGTTCAACCTTATCTTTTAAAAATTCTGTACGTGGATACATTAAGCGTTTGCTACAGCTCGAGATCTCTGATGCGTTCAAATTACTGCGTTATTTACAGTATAATCTGCTTCGATGTTCGAGGTTATTATTTGGCCGGATTCCGGTTCGAATTCTTAACGAGTTTGTTAATAGGCAGCGGTCTTCCCTTAACTTTTTTGATAGATCTGAGAACAGGCGAATACATAAAAAACTTAATTGGCTCGCGAGAAAACAACCTGATTTCCTTCGTCCCAATGTTCCTGTTATTAAATATTTCTGTTCCGTCCCTCCCCATTCTCCTATGAATCCTTACAAACAAAAATTAAGATCGTTTTCCGTCTCTCGTCCTTATCAACAGCACCCCCTTCCTTCTTTTTCACTCACACCGATTCCTCAACTCCCCTCCTTCACTCCTTTTAACATTGACATCAATCCCAACAGCTTTCGTATGAGAGATAACTTGTCTCTCATCAACTCTGTGAATAATGGTTGGCTTATTAATTTGTCAAAACTTGAGATTCCTAGAGAAGTACAATCCCTCCTACAATTAGGTGATAAGTTTTCTTTGCGATCCTATCCGAATTCACAACGCTTTGTGTTCGATGTAATCAAGAGTATTGAATATAACATCTCAAGATGTGATCACGAAACGGTGAATAATATCAGATGTCTGGGAGTCCAGACTTTAAATAAATTGTTGTCGTCTCCTCCTCGGATTTCGGAGGTTGACTCGCGATTGTTATTTCTAAGCAACATCACAAAAAAATTCCTTCGTGATCACCCTGATATCATTGTTACGAAAGCGGATAAGGGAAATGTAACCGTTTGCCTTGACAAATCGGACTATTTTGATAAGATGCGTGATTTGTTGTCGGACCGGAAGACGTACGAGGTGGTGAGCCGGGACCCGACCAGTAAAATTATTTCTCAACTGAAAGTGTTGTTGTGGCGCTGGCTTGAGAACGAATACATTTCTAGCGCTACATATAGATCACTTTTGTGTTCGGAGGGGGTCTTACCACGTGCCTACGGATTGCCGAAAATTCACAAAGAAGAATGCCCGTTACGCGTTATCGTTTCTTGCATTAATAGTCCTCTATACTCATTAACGTCTTTTCTTCATAACATTCTATATAAGAATTTACCGAATCCTAAGAGTTATATTCAAAATAGTTTTGAACTAATTAAGAAACTTAATAACTTTCACTTAGATGACAATTACAACGTGATTTCTTTGGATGTTGTGAACCTTTTCACTAGTGAACCGTTCCACTTGACTTAGTCATTGGAGGAATTGCAAAGCGATGGCACTTTATCAAAAATAAAACTAGTATTCCATATAATGAATTCATTATTTCTTTGAAATTGATTATGGATTCTACTTACTTCAAGTTTGATCAAATCATTTACAAACAGATTTTCGGCACTCCGATGGGCTCTCCACTCTCTCCGATTTTGGCGAACATTATTATGGCGGATCTGGAAGAGAGAGCAATCTCATCTCTCCCTGTTTCCCTTCCGTTTTACATACGTTATGTTGACGACATTGTTCTTGCTGCTCCCAAACAATTTATCTTATTGAATCCCAATAATTTATATTATTGAATACTCAAATAATAACAGTATACATTTCTTAGATACAACTATTATTATTAACAAAAATTATATTGAGTTCAATTGGTACAGGAAACCGACTTTTTCAGGGAGATTTCTCTCATACTTTTCACACCATCCCCTGTCGCATAAAAGAGGAGTTGTTATCGGTTTAACAGACAGGATTTTTAAACTTTCACACCCGCGGTTTCATACTGATAATTTTTCATTCATCATCTCAACGCTATTGGATAATGGTTACCCTATGCATATATTCATTTTTCAAACCATTACCCAGAGGCTCAAGTTTTTAATTTCAACTAATAGCGATAACGTCAACATGCGTTCTCAACCTCCCTCCTCTCCCACTCCTTCTCCTTTTTTCACCATTCCTTTCTCCTCAAGTTTTCCCAGAAATTTTATTTCTAACATTAGGAAGTATAGCAATAGAAGATTGGCGTATACGGTGAACAATAAACTAAAATCTTTCATCAGATTATATAAGGATCCTTTACCTGAACTCCACCATTCGAATGTCATTTACAAGATCAGTTGTATGGATTGTGATGCGTCGTATGTGGGACAGACGAAGAGGAAATTAATAACCAGAGTCAAGGAACACCGCTCTGATATCAATAAAGCATCTGGTTCTCTCTCGGTTGTATCCCTCTATAGAATGGAGGGTCACGAATTCGATTGGGATAACGTTTCGATTTTGGAGGAAGAACCGAGTTATAAAAGAAGATTGATTACAGAGATGCTGCATATTTCTAGTCAGATCCACAGTATCAACATCCAGAGCGACACTGAGTTCTTAGACAAGATATATTTGCCAATTATTAAGAAATTCTCGCGCTGATTTTTTGTTTTATTTCCGTTTGTCTTTTTCCTTTATCCCGTCTTTTGATGATGCTTCTCTCTCTTCCTCCTCCTTTTGAGTTCCTACGGCGCCTCTTTTCGCCTTCACACACTTCAGTTCGGCGTTATCAACAAGTACGTTTATGTTGTGCCTGCTTTGCTCTCCCTTCG